TATATATATATATATATATATATAATGCAAAATCTGAAGCTATCAATTGTTGCTGTGGTTACTCTTTTTCTTCTGTTACATGCATTGTCTGTGTTGGCTCCAAGCACTTTTCTTTGCTTGTTTAGTTCACATGTCCACTTTCATGCCAGGGTTGTTCCTCTTTTGGCTGTTGGTTCATGATTACAGTGGAGGCATTAACAGATAACTGAGGCTCTGGGTAAACAGACAGGTTGTTAGTGTATAAACTTTGCTCAGGGATGATTGGGCAGGGACTTGACCATCTTGTTGAAAAGATTTCCCCCCATCAGTGCATCTAGGTCTTCTCCTTTGGACTGATTTTCCCAGGGCAGAGTCTGCCAATTTCCTGCCAGTTGGGGAGTAGAAAAGGAAGCATTTTAACAACCTGGCCTGAAACGTCCCTTAAGTAGGGAGCTAGGATGAGAGAATGTTAGTGGTGATGGTGGTAGTGATGGTGTTGATGGTGGTAGGGGCAGCAACAACGATAGCAACAGCAGTGGTGTTGGTGGTAGGAGGGGAACCTGACCATTTGGGAGAAAGAATGTTCACATAAGTGTCCTTTTTTCAGGAAGGACTTCCCTTTCACCTTAAGGTGTGACTGAGGGGATCCCTAGTCTTCAGTTTGGGTGGGGAAAGGGTTGCTACCAGGCTGGGGCTGGCATTCAAATTGGAGTCAAAGCCTTTTTATATCGATTTCCAAATAATCCTCCTTTCACTGCCATGCCTCATCCCAGCCCACCTTCAAAGATACTTGGTGCCTTTGATTCTAGAGACTTTCTGGGATTCTTGGCTTCCTCCACTGTGTGGGCATCAAAGCAGAGAAATCCTAAGCTGAAGCCAATTACTTCAGTTTATCTTCCTTTCGTCAATCCTCTGCTGCAGTCACTTCTATTTTCTTTATTCGTGAGGAAAATATCCTTCACTGTCAGGGAAGAAAAGAGGATTCTAAAAGGGAAGGAAGACACATTCATGTGTTTGAGCTGCCATGGTAAATGGAAAGCCACTTATCTTTTCTCAGTTTACACTGAAAGAATGAATGCCTTCTGAAAAATTTAAAAAGAGAAAGTATCAGAGAAGAAAATGTCACTAAATCTGACAGAAAATTATAGAAGAGGTGACACCTTTATATAATGGAAGACTCATAGCAAGACAAGCCCAAATGGTTGAGAAAACATCAACACCACCATCTCACACCTTGTGGGGCAGAAGCCAGAAACCACACCCCAAAACAGCCAGTGTTAGCCTATGGTGACAGAAGTCAGAATAGTGGTTACTTCCAGGTGAGTGTTGAATGGCAGGTAGCCCAGATGTGGGAAATGTTCTATGTCTTGATGTGGATGTTAGTTATATAAGTATACACATATGTTCAAATTCATCCAGCTGTACACTTAAGATCTGTGAAGCTGATATACTTCACTATGTGTTTCATACCCACCACACAATATAAAAGGAAGGAAACTGGTATGTACTGACTGATTGCTGTATGCTAGGCATTGGCTAGATCTGCATTTTTTTAAAAAATATTATTCATTAATTTAATGAGCACCTACTATGTTCTATCTAGGTTCTGAAGATGCAACAATGAACAAAAAAACAGAACACCCCTGCCTGCAGGATGCTCATGGTTATTGAGAAGATAGTATCAAATAGTCTCACACTCAGAAGTAAGATGAAGACAGGGACCAATCCAGGGCATTGTTGATGGGTAGGAGAGGGGACATGTCCTCATCTGAGGAAAAGTCAGAAAAGCTTCCCTGAAAAAGTGAAGCTTAAACTGAGGTCTAAAAGATGATGTGGAATTAACCAGCTGAGGAGGAGGTGGAAGAGCATTTTATGCAAAGGGAACGGTGTGTGCAAAAACCCTGTGGTGGAAGGGGGTGTAGCACATTAAGGAGAGCAGACAGCAGGGCCCAACAGGCATGAGCTGATGAGAGAGGTGTCTCATTTACCACATTTTTCACATATAATATGCCAAAATAAATATCAAACACATACATTTAACATGTACAATGTGCATAGGAAACTAATGTGCGAGGAGGTTGTGTTGCATAGTTGCAAAACTGTATGGCATATATAGGCATATATGTTATTTGTGTAAAAGTACAACATCCCTCACAACAATGTCATAGATGGGGAAACTGAGGCTCAGAGAGATGAGGTGGGCACATTTATCATCCAACAAATGCAGATGGAGTTGGAATCTGGCTTTGTCTGGCTTCCCCTCTGCTCATTGAGACAGATAGTTGGAATGTAAGCCAGAGAGGCCACCTGGGTTCCAGCCAAGAACAAGAGGCTGGTTGCAGCTGCCTGACAGCTGCCCTCACAGCTTCCTACTTCTCAGCCCCACAGGGTCCATGGATGGGGGTGGCCATGAGGTCTTGCCCCAAAGAGCATTACTGGGATCCCCTGCTGTTCAACTGTGTCTCCTGCAAACCCATCTGTAGCCGTCGGAGCCAACGCATCTGTGCAGCATTCTGCAGTAAGTTTCAGAACCTGAGCCAAGGGGATGGGATGGTTCCACTGCAGCTGGTTGAATGACGATGTACAATGTGGTACTTTTTTAGTACTCCATCTTTCTACTCTGGCCACACTGACCTCCTTTAAGTTTCTTGAACATGATGCATTCTTTCCTGCTTCAAAGTCTTTGCACATGTTATTCCCTCTGCCTGGAATGCATTTCTTCCATTCTTTATTTGGTTCCCTTCTACCCAAAGCTCAAGTCTCAGCCCAAATATTCCTTGTTTGCAGAGGTCTTCTTTGACAGTCCAATAGAAATTCAGTGTTCCTTGTCATGCTCTTGCTTTTGAAATATTTTAGTATGGACATTATCAAACATACAAAGAATAGCATGACAAAACACCTGTGCACCCATCCTCAGCTGAAAAATCATAAAATTTCTGCCTTTGTATTCCTCAACCAATTTTTTTTTGCTTGTGTGTTTTAAACAAACCCATTCTATGGATATACTAAGTGGTACAGCAAGAGACCACCCTGATTTCTTTGGCTTTGAAGTCTATATTTTTAAGTACTCTCCTACTCTGCCTCTGAGATATGTCCTTAAAGTCTTGTGTTAATGATATTTTTATAAATAGAACCTTATTTTAATGACTAGGAAATCTTATCCCATGAAAGTAAAAATATTCTGAGCCTTTTCATAAAGTGAATGATTGCCTCAAATCTATTCTTTTATACACTCCTAAGTCAAGACCTAAAGGAAGTAGCATTGGGATTTAATTTGCTTGGTTTTTGCTTCTTGGCATTGATACCTGTTTAAGCACCTGCAATTCTCATTCAATAATATAAAAGAAGAAACACTATGAATGTGAGCTTCTCCACCTTCCTTCTAGCTCCTTCTTCAAAGTTGTCAAAGAGGAGTGTGGCTTTTCCTCCTTCATTCCTTCTATTAATGTGAAATATATTTTTTCTTGATGGGTTTGAAAAATGCAAATAATGAACCTGAGTGATAATGTAATTAACTTAGATACCAATTTTAAAAGATAACTGGAAAATTTGTACATATTTGGAAACTAAGAAACACCCTTTGAGATAAGTATAAGTTAAAAAAGAAACAATAATGAATAGTAAAAAATATTTTGAACTAAACATATTTAAAATATTTCATATAAAAACATGTGGAATGCAGCTAAAACTGTACTCAGAGGGTAATGTATAGCCTTAAATTTGTATATTGGAAAAAGACTTGAATTACTCAAATTGCTTTTGGTAATTAAACTCTCATTAAAAAAAAAAAAGCTTTGATGTCTTTTGAGACCAGACCCACAGTTCATGCTGTGGTCACTCATTAGTACCACTCATTTTTGTCTTCTAGAGTCATTCAGTTGCCGCAAGGAGCCTGGCAAGTATTATGACTATCTCCTAAATGATTGCATAAGCTGTACCTCCATCTGTGGACAACACACCAAGCAATGTGCATACTTCTGTGAAAACAAGTTCAAAGGACAGAGCCAAGTGAATCTCCTTCCGGAGCTCTGGAAGCAGACGGGGGAGACAGAAGCCAAGCCAAACAATTCAGGAAGGTACCAGGAACCAGAGCTCAGAGGCTCGGAGGCAAGTTCAAGTAAGCCACCTGAGGGTCTGTGGGTCAGAACAGGTGGGAGATTAGGCCCCAGCCCTAAATAAAGAAGGTGTTTTGGTCCTCTAGTGTTGCTCTAACAGAAATACCACAAGTGAATGGCTTGAACAAACAGGGATTTATTTTCTTACAGTTTAAGAGGCTAGAAATCCAAGTTCAAAGTACCAGCTCTAGGGACTGGGTGAAAGCCCCTCAATCTTGTGCTTCAGCTCTGCCTTTTGTTCCCAACTTACTGAAGTGGGAGGTTTCTCTTAACTCAGACAGCTGCTAGCTGCTGAGGATGACAAACCCAAGGTCAAAAAATAAAATAGCACAGTCTCCAAATTATCAACCAACATGGCAGGCCACTAGTTCAAGTCTAGAAACAGTCTTAAAATCAGCAGACAACATGGCAGGTCACTGAGATGAAGACTTGGCCAAATGCAGGATTACAGACTTGCCAAAAAGCTCTGAGATCTTTCTGAAAGCTGTCTTCTTACATACTAGAAGAAGACCACATCCCTAAGGTAGCTATTCAGCTGCTCCAGTAGATTCCACTGAATTGATTACCAGTCTCATCATGGGAAATAACTACATCCAGCTGCCCAGTCACTCAAAACCATCCCCAACCAAGTTGACACACAACTTAACCACCACAGAGGAGTTGTAAGCAGGACACCCAGAGTTCAGACACATGGCCAGAAGCCAAGGGGGCTTCATAGGACAGGAAAATTGTAGGCAAAATTTTAGAAGTTTATGGGCATGAAGAAAGCAGAAGAGCAAAGGATGGGGGTTGGAGCTTTATAATGGGGGTTCTGAGGCAGAGTGAATTCTCAAAGCACAAAGCAGCAAGTTCTAGGCAGAACTAGCCTTGGGGCAGTCAGGGCAGGAGACCAAGTTCATTTACATAGAGAATTCAGATTTAAACTTACAGATCACAGAAGCTGCCTAAGAATGAGAAGAGAAAGATATTGCAAAAAAGTTTATGGTGGAGTTGATCCTTTGTACATGGTAATTTGGGTGCCCTGGAGCTGGATTCTGCCAACTGCCAATCCATTCTCCCAGCCAATAGCTCTTATGTCACCTGCCCTGTTCCATGGTGACAGAAAGAAGGGGGTGGGAGACTGTGGGATCCAGTTACATTTGAGATGATAGCTCCACTGCCCATGACCTATTTGTGGAGGGACAACAGGACTCCTGACAGGCTGATTAGTTTATTTCCCTTACCTGTGACTCTCACATGATGGCACAATCTCCTTGAGACTGGGCCCCACTACCTAGACACCCAGGGGTGGGAACTGTCAGAGGTATAGAGATGGGAGGGACAGAGGGAGCACTTGCTCCTGGGCATGCCAAATCTACGGGGGTGCCAGATGAGGCCAGCCAGTGAATCTCCTTACTCCATCTCCTTACTCCCCACTCCCCAACTCCTCACTAGCTCCCCCATCCCCCATCGAAGAGGCTGGTTGGGGTAGGGCACACAAACTTAGAGATTGCCCCTAGGTGCTTCTAGAGCCATTGCCCAGCCACACATCCCCCTTGGCTAGACTGTAGTCTTCTATTCCTGTTTGCTCTCTTGTTGGTCAGTAACTATTGCATAACAAATAACCCCAAACCCAGACCGTTCCTTACTTGCAAGGTTGGCTGGGAACAGGCTATGTTCACATGCTTGTCCTCATCCTGGGACCACTGGGGTGGCCAGGTGTGTCCTTCTCATGACAATGGTGGAGGTGCAAATGTGCAGCATCATGCCTCAGGTTGGAGCCAAGCTGCCACTTCTGCCTCATTAGTCAGGCCAACTCCAAATTATGGCTAGGGAAACTGGCTCTGTGTCAGGCACATCTTGTCACAGAACAAGCCAAGCCTGGACATAATGGTTTCAAACAGCAGTCATTTGTGTGTGCACAACTGTGTGGGTTGGTGCTCTGTGTCCAGTTGAGCACCAGGTCTTGTGTCTGCATCCATGGTGCTGATCGGACTTATGTATGTATCTGGGTCATTTGTTGGGATGGGTCCTTCATTCTCAAAAAGGCAGCGTGGGTGGATCTCTATGGCAGCAGTGTTCCAAGAGGGCAAGAGGGAAGCTGCCAGCCTCTTTAACCCTAGCTGGGACCCTGTACACATCACCTACCTTGCATTCTGTTACTCAAGTCACAGGGCCAGCATTTTCAAGTAGATTCCACCTCCTGTTGAGAGGACTGGCAAAAAAATTGAACCTGGAGAATCTGGCCATTTGTAATCTGCCTCCACCTCTCTTATGATGAGAACTACAAACTCATGGCTGAGGGCATGGAAGCAGGAAAAAAGCTGTGCTGTGTAGGCAGGGGCCTCCCAATGTCCTCAGGCTTGTGTACCTCCCCCAGTCCATGACACATTTATCTCTTCCAATCAACTCCTGACCTTTCCCAGCTCCCACGCAAGTGTCTCTTGAGATTAATGTTGTTAGCTGCTGTTGAGCTGGCTCCAACTCATAGCAACCCCATGTACAACAGAACGAAACATTGCCTGGTCCTACACCATCTTCAGTTGTTGGTATTCTCAAGTTCAATGTGGCCACTGTGTATTTTGAGTGCCTTCCAACCTAGGGTGCTCATCTTCCAGGACTATATTTTTGTTAGTTGCCATCCATTTGAGTTCAACTCATGGTGACCCCATGTGTGCAGAGTAGAATTGCTCCACAGGGTTTTCAAGGCTGTAAATTTACGGAAGCAGATTACCAGGCCTGTCTTTTGAGGAGCCTCTGGATGGGTTTGAATCACCAACCTTTAGGTTAGTAGTCCAGCACTTAACCATTTCCATCATGGAGGGACTCCTTCCAGCACTACATTGGATAATATTCTGATCCATAGAGTTTTTACCGGTCAGTTATCAGATCTAAATCACCATGGCCTTTATTCCTGGTCTTAGTTGGATACTCCTGTGAAACCTGTCCATCAAGGGTGATTCTGCTTCCAGCATCATAGCAACACACAAGACACCAGAGTATGATAAACTGAGAGACTGATACTTCCCATTTCACAGATTGAGAAACTGACTTTCAAAAATGGAGCAGCTTGCTAAGAGCCACATGGTGTGGGCATGACTGAGCTGGGATTGGAGCCCAGTCTGTGGGTTCCAAAACTTGTCTACTCTGCCATAGCAAAGCAAGCCAGGGGTCAGTATCCACAGGACCTGGCTCCTAGCTGCAGCTCTGCCACTGAGAAGAGTCTGACTTTGAGGCTCAGTTTTTTCATCTCAAAATAGAGTTTAAAACAGTGCAGCCATTTTGGAAGAGTCTGGTGGTTCCTCAAAAAATGAAACATGGCATTACCATATAATCCAGCAGTTACACTCCTAGCTCTATATTTGACATGAATGTTCATAGCAGCACTATTCATAACAGTAAAAAAGTATAAACAATCCAATGTCCATCAACTCATGATTGGACAAACAAAATATGGTCCATCTATACAAAGGAATGGGAGCTCTGGTAGCATAGTGCCTAAGGCACTTGACTGCTAGCCAGAAGGCTATCGGTTCAAACCCACCAGCCACTCCTCAGAAGGAAGATGAGGCAATCTACTTCCATAGTGACACTGCCTCAGAAACCCAAGGAGGGGTCACTATGAGTCAGGTCTGACTTGACAGTACATAACAACAACAACAACATACAAAAGAATATTATTCAGCCATAAAAATGAATGAAGTTCGGATACATAGTACAACATAGATGAACCCTGAAAATATCATGTTAAGTGAAAGAAGACAGTCACAAGATCACATATTGTATATTTCTATTTATATTAAATGTCCAGAATAGGCAAATCTTTATAGACAGAAAGTAGAATAATGGTTGCCAAGGGTGGGAGGAGGGGAGAATGGAGTGATTGCTAACAGAAGAAGAACTTCCATTTGAGGTGGTGAAAATGTTCTAGAATTAGATAGTGGTCACAGCTGTATAACCTTGTGAATATACTAAAAGCCACTGAAATTGTACACTTTAAAATGGTGATTTTTGTATATGAATTATACTCAATTTTAAAAGTGAGGTAATCAATCCTCCTACAAAAAAATGCCTCACATACAGTAAGGACTCAATAAATGGTCCATATCATTAGTTTATAACATATATATCAGATTCAATCTGGTTCATCTATCCTTCTGCCCTGAGGCCTGGAGGATGCTCCAATTCCAAGAACAAGGAAAAAATAAGATGAGGGACAATTTTAAGGGGAGAGCTTTGATCCTGTGCTGACTCTGACATCAAAACAGAGAGGTTTGAGTCCTATAGAAGTAGAGTGACCATGTGCATCATCTCCCCAGGGCAGTCCTAGTCCATTTCTGTCATTCAAGACTAATTAATAATCACGTCCCATTTCACTCTCAAAATTGTCCTTATTTGGACAATAAAGTCACCCAAGAAGGCATCTCCTTGGAGGAAGAGCCTATTTCAGGGAAGACAGTGGCATCCTCCTGGGCTATTAATCATCCATTCATCTCTGGTCCTATCATAATCTGTATTCCTATATCAAGTGGAGACAATGACAAGGCCCAACTAAAGGATGTTTTCTCCAGCTTCGAGGTCTCAGAAGTTGCTACTGGCATGCAGTGGGGGTACTAATTTCCTCCAGAGCCCAGAAAGTATGTCAGCTAAACAAGTGTCAGGGTTCAGAAGGTCCACAGCAGATCAGGGGGCTAGGGACTAGGCCCTCTATAGGCTCAGCAACTGCTTAACTGGGAAAGGATGGCCCTGTGAGTTGCATGTAGATTGCATGCAGATTGTGTGTGGGGTTTCATGTGGATTATGTGTGGGTCGTATAGGGATTGCACGTAGATTTGTGTGGACTGTGTGGGTTGCATGTGGGTTATGTGTGGTCTTTGTGTGAATTGTATGTGGATCACATATGTGTTGCATGTAGGTTGGCAGCCCATGCCTGGGACTGCATCTAGGCAGCCTTCCTCCAGTGACAGAGACAGCAGCCTCAAGATCATATGTGCTCCCTCCCAGGAAAGAGGTTCCACCACATAGAGCTCAGAGTGTGGACGGACAACTCTAATAAGGGGAAAAGAAAGACCACAGAGTTAGAGTCTGCCCTAAGAGGAGAAGAGCTCTAGAAAGCAACAGCTCCTCCTGAGTGCTGGGTGTCTCCCTGTCTTGCAGTGTCCCAAGGGCTAAAGCTGAGTGGAGGCCAGCTAGCACTGGTCTATACCACGCTGGGACTCTGCTTGTGTGCTGTCGTCTGCTGCTTCCTCGTGGCTGTGTCCTGCTTCTTCAAGAGGAAGGGGGACCAGTGTTCCTGCCAGCTGCCCCCCAAGCCATGCCACACTCAGGCTGAATCCTCTCAGGGTGAGTCCTCCTCCATTCTCACTGCATGTCACAAACAGGGAGCAAGTCCTTTGTCTTGTCACTGCCCTGGTTCTAAGTGGAGGGCATTTTGCCAAATTAGCCTCTGAAAGGCTGGGAGCACATCCTGGCAGTATTTCTGTTCTTTGGTTCAAGTCAGTTTTAAACACATAGGCAGGCAGACAGGGATGTGTAGCCTCAGGACAAGGATGCAAGGGCCAGTTCAGAAAAGTCCCAGTAAATGTGAGGGCTAGTCATCCCCACAGGGTATGGATTGCTTGGAGATGCAGGCAGAAATGAGTCAGAAGGGATGCTGGAGCTGGGCTTTGGTGGGCCCTGTTCTGCTGGCAGTTGCTCTGTAGCTACTTGTCCTGAGGAGATACTTGGAGTGCTGGGGTATATGGAGCTGGAGGGCTGGCCAGGGTTTTGGGAAAGGAGGCTGTGGCAGTTTACCAATTTGCATATTTTATCTTCATAACCTTGTGCCTGTACTAGTGTGTACCTGCTAATGTCACTTTGGGTGTAGGAATGAGATGGGTAGTGCTGGACCAACCCCTTTCCATCCCTTTCTCAGATCACTTGATGGAAGCTGGAAGCATTGAGGGTGGGACTCCGGAGCCAGTGGAAACATGCAGCTTTTGTTTCCCGGAACAGAGGGCACCCACTGAGGAGAGTGCAGGGGGCCACAGGACACTGGGCCTGGCCCCTGCACAGAGGTGGTGGCCCTTGCCTGGGACAGCATCTATGCAGCCTTCCTCCAGCAATGAGGACAGCGGCCTCAAGATCATATGTGCCCCCTCCCAGGAAAGGGGTCCCACGACATAGAGCTCAGAGAGAAAGAAACAGACACACAAGCACACACACAGAGATGCCATAGCAGGAGGCCATTTCACTCTCTTGACTCTCTTGACCCCAGCTCTCTATGTAAATTGTAGTTCACAATTATCTAAAAATACCTACAATACACAGTTGAACTCCTATAGAAATAAACCCCCTGCTGGCTGCTGCTCCTCACATTTGGTCTTGGCTGTGTCCTTACATGATCCTCACACCTGCCTTCCTGGTCTTGGCCCACTGTGAAGGCACCTTGTTCTGCGCACACCTTCAGTGAGAAGGTCTCGCTGGGCTCATGGAAAAGTTTGTTAACTACTACTGGGTCATAAGCAACTGAATACAAGTGACACTAGATCTCTCCTTGTCTGAAAAGGGAAAGACCAGAAAGGTAAGAAAAGATTAAAGAAGGGCTTGGCATAGTGCACAAGACAGGCAAACACCAGGAGGATGGGAGGCTGGGGGTGTCTACGTATCTTTTGAAAACACAGATTCCCTTCCTTGATGCCTCAGTAAGGGTTAGGCAGCACAGTGTGTGTGTGTGTGTGTGTGTGTGTTGGGGGGGCTGGGGTGGACAGGAAGGGGGTGCAGCTCAAGTTCAATGGGGTAAGCTGCCCTCAAAGAATGACTGATATTTTCCTGGGAAGACAGCAAGAGAGGGTTTCCATTTACATCCCACCTTTTGCCAGCAATCTGCTCTAGTATTAAGTTGATATTTTCTTTAAATTGAATTACTTTTTTTAATGTACCTACTTTAACCTCATGCTAAATGCTATGGACTCTGAATGGTTCACTAAGCAATAATATATGAACATTCATATATTTTAGGTACTACCCATATATTTTTATTAGCATTAAGTCTATATTAAGCCACAGGGATCCAGGTGAGTAGAGAGAACTCAGGCCATGCCCCAAAGCGGCAAGGTGGGAAAATGGGAGAAAGGAGAGGAAAAGGCCAGGGAGACCAGGACAAAGCAAGGAGTCAGCCACAGGGATCCAGGTAAGGATGGTTGGATTGGTTTCCAACCGCTAAGGGAGACAAACTTGTCTGTCAGTTTGTCCTACTGTGGTGACGTGCTGCTGTGAGCCTTGAGGCTGTGCCACTGGTGTTTCAAACCCACCAGGGTGCACATGGTGCACAGGTATCAGCCCAGCTTGCAGACTGAGACAAACTAGGAAGAAGGAAGAGGCCATCCACTCACTTATCAGAGAGTTGGCCAGGGAAAACCTTATGAATACTAAAGAAACACTGTCTGATACATTACTGTGAAATTTTATGAATAGTCTGGAAACACTGTCCAATACAGAGGAGGAGGATGAGTCACTTAGGTTAGAAGGCTCTCAAAATAGGACTGGGAAAGAGCTGCATCATCAGAGTAAAGCCAGCCTTATTCATAGGAATAAGGTAAAGCTTTCGAGACTTCCATTTGTTGATGTGGCACCACTCAGATTGAGGAGAAACAGCTGCAGATGTCCATTAATCATCAGAACATGGAATGTATGAAGTATGAATCTAGGAAAATTGGAAGTTGTCAAAAATGAAATGGAATGCATCAAGATTGATATCCTAGGCATTAGTGAGCTGAAATGGGCTGGTTTTGAAACAGCCATTCTGAATCAGACAACCATATGATCCACTATGCCGGGAATGACAGTTTGAAGAGGAATGGTGTGGCATTCATCATCACAAAGGATGTTTCAAGATCTGACCTGAAGTACAATGTTGTCAGTGATAGGATAATATCCATACGCCTACAAGGAAGACCCGTTAATATGACTATTATTCAAATTTATGCACCAAACATGAAAGCCAAAGATGAGGAAATTGAAGATTTTTATCAACTTCTGAAGTCTGAAATTGATCGAACATGCAATCACAATGTGTTAATTATCACTGGTGACTGGAATGCAAAAGTTGGAAACAAAGAAGAATCACTGGTAGTTGGAAAATTGGGCCTTGGTGACGGAAATAATGCTGGAACTCTCATAGTAGAATTTTGCAAGACCATCAACTTACTCGTTGGAAACACCTTTTTCAACAACACAAACAGCAGCTGTACACGTGGACTTCACCAGATGGAACACACAGGAACCAGATTGACTACATCTGTGGCAAGAGGTGATGATTGTGGAGCAGACCATCAACTATTCATATGCAAGTTCAACTTGAAGTTAAAGACAATTAAAACAAGTCCAAGAGAGCCAAAATATGATCTTGAATATATTCCTCCTGAATTTAGAGACCATCTAAAGAATAGATTTGATGCACTGAACACCAATAACTAAAAACCAGAAGAATTGTGGGATGATATCAAGAACATCATCCATGAAGAAAGCAAGAGGTAACTAAAAAGACGAGAAAAGAAGAGAAGACCAAAATGGATGACAGAAGAGATTCTGAAACTTGCCTTTGAGCAGAGAGAAGCTAAAGCAAATGGAAGAAATGAGAAGATACAAGAGCTGAATTGAAGATTTCAAAGAGCAGCCTGAGAAGACAAAGCCAATTACTATAATGAGTGTGTAAAGACCTGGAGTTAGAAAACCAAAGAGGAAGAACACACTTGGCATTTCTCAAGCTGAAAGAATTGAGGAAAACATTTAATCCTCCAGTTGCAATATTGAAAGATTCTATGGGGAAAATATTGAATGATGCAGGAAACATCAAAGGAAGATGGAAAGAATACACAGAGTCACTGCACCAAAAAGAAATGGTAGATCTTCATCCATTTTAGGAGATGGCATATGATGTAGAACCAATGGTATTGAAGGAGGAAGTCGAAGCTGCAATGAAGGAATTGGTGAAGAACAAGGCTCCTGGAATTGACCAAATACACATTGAGATATTTCAACAAATGGATGCCCCATTGGAGGCACTCACTTGGTTATGCTAAGAAATTTGTAAGACAGCTACCTGGCCAACTGACTGGAAGAGATCCATATTTATACCCATTCCAAAGAAAGGTGATCCCACAGAATGCGGAAAATATCAAACAATATCATTAATATCGCATGCAAGTAAAATCTTACTGAAGATACTTCAAAAACGGCTGCCACAGTATATTGACAGAGAACTTCCAGAGGTGCAGGCTGGATTCAGAAGAGGATGTGAAACAAGGGATATCATAGCTGCTGTCAGATGGATCTTGGCTCAAGGCAAAGAATACCAGAAAGTTGTTTGTGTTTTATTGACTATGCAAAGGCATTTTATTGTGTGGATCATGACAAATTATGGATAACATGAGAAGAATGAGAATTCTCAAACACTTAATTGTACTCATGAGGAACCAGTACATTGCCCAGGAGGCTATCGTTTGAACGGAACATGGGGACACTACACGGGTTAAAATCAAGAAGGGAGTGCAACAGGGTTGTACCCTTTCCCCAAACTTATTCAATCTATATGCTGATCAAATAATCTGAGAAGCTGGACTATATGAAGAAAAACGTGGTATCAGGATTGGAGGAAGAATCATTAACAACCTGAGATATGCTGATGATACAACTTTGCTTGCTGAAAGT